TGGCGCGGGAGAGGTGGTCCTGGTGGCAGCGCGTGGTGCGGTAGGTGTCCCCGATGCCCGCAGCGTTGGTGGAATGTAGAGCGCGGGCGCCGGTGGATCATCAGCATCACCAGCAGGCAGGGGCACCCCAGGCACAGTCGTAGTGGGACCGGCAAGGGCGCTAGAGACATCAGCGGTGCTGGGTGGTGTTCCTGCAGACAAAAACTTATGCATCGGTCCAATAGGAGGGAGCATAGGGTCAGTAGTATCGTCATCGAGGAACTGTAGGTCCGCTCGAGCACTAGGACCATGGCGCTCAGCAAAGGGAAATGTCGTTTCATCGAAGATGACGTGCCGGGAGACGATGACTCTATTGGAGGAGAGGTCAAGGCAGCGTAATGAGCAGAATAGCCTAGGAAGACACATAGGACAGACCTAGGGGCGAGTTTGTGGGGTGCAGTAGCCGACATGTTTGGGTAACATTTGCAACCGAAGACTCGTAGATGATCATATGCTGGTGGCTTGCCGAACAGGGCAAGGTGCGGCGTGGAAAACTGTAGAGTCTTGGTAGGCAGTATGTTGAGCAGAACAGTGGCTATAGAGAAGGCCTCTACCCAGTAGGACGAAGGCATGGACGCCTGAAAGAGCAGTGAGCGAACAACATTATTGATGGAGTGAATATTGCGTTCAGCTTTACCGTTTTGAGACGATGTGTAGGGACAGGACATGCGAAGGTGGATGCCCTGAGCGAGGAAAAACTGACGGGAGCTAGAGTTGTCAAACTCTCTCCCGTTGTCGCACTGAACAGCCTTGACCCGGGCGCCAAACTGGGTGGAGGCGTGGGCGATGAAGTGAGCAAGCATGCTGAAAGTGTCAGATTTAAGCCGCAAAGTAAACGTCCACAAATAATGAGTGCAATCATCAAGTATGACCAAGTAGTATTTATAACCAGAAATGCTGACAACTGGAGAGGTCCATAAATCACAATGTATAAGATCAAACTTGCTAGACGCACGAGAGGTGGACTCATGAAAGGGCAAACGAACATGACACCCTAACTGACAAGCATGACATAACTCTGAGCAATCCTGAATATGACAGGAGACACTAGACGCGAGCTTCGACAACACCTCATGACCAGGGTGGCCAAGACGCCGATGCCACAGCGGGAAGGAAGCCTGGGTGACAAGGGAGTGTGCTGGGGGTAGGCACAGAGGGTATAGCGGCTCAGAGCTATTGCACCTGACGATCTCGGACCAAGATGGAAGAACCTTCACAGAACAACCAGCGGGGTCAAACTCAACAGAACAATTATTGTCGGTAGTAAATTGGCGAACAGAGATAAGATTCTTAATAATTTGTGGCGACACAAGGACATTATTAAGACGTAAATTATGAGACAACTCTGTAGAGTCAATGGCAGTGACAGGAAGAAGAGAGCCATTACCAACAACAATGGATGAAGGAGTAGGGTACCGCGGGAGAAGAACATGTGAAAGAGAGGAGGACTGAGATGTCATATGTGAAGTAGCACCTGAGTCGAAGTACCACTCGTTGGACGTAGGAGGGGTCAACGACGTTGTGCTGAAGGTGGAGGCGAGGGCCGTTGGGTCCCAAGAGGGGAGGCCGGCCACCGGGTTGTAATACCGAGGGCGACCCACTGTCCAGTGCCATTAGGAGCAGAGAGGGCAGCGGCCTGCTGGTGGATAGCAAGGGCGTGCTGCTGCTGTTGGGCGAGGAAGGCCTGCTGCTGCGCTTGCTGCTGCGCGTGTTGTTGGGCCTGCTACTGTGCCTGCAAGTGAGGAGGCACTGGGATGGGTGCCAGCGGTGGACGAGGTCCCCCTGGACACATCTGAATGGTCCCGGTCCAGGGGTTGTAGACACTGGGCCATGGCCGCCCGCCGGCCGGCTGCTGCTGTTGTGTGCCACCAGTGGGGCGTGACCCCTGTCCAGGAGGGCCACCGCCGCTGTTGCCTTTGCCGCCACCGCCGCGCTTGCTGCGATGGTTGTTAGGCGGCTTGGAGTTCCCACCAACGCCCGTGCCGAAGGACGTAGGGGCAGGGCTGGGAGTGGTGGAGGCGGCGAGCGCAGTGGTAGGTGCGTCCTTGTGAGTCTCCATGGTGAGTTCCTAGAGGATGAGGTCATCACGAGCCTCCAGGAAGGTGGGGAACGGTCGAGCGCGACGAAGGAGCGTCCCAACGTGGCTGAAGTGCTCGTTGAAGCCGCGGATCACGTTGAGGACGAGCGTGCGGTCGGTGACGACCTCGCCAAGGGCCGTGAGATCATCGGCCATCTTTTTTAGCTTACGGCAGTAGTCGGTGATGGAGAGGTCGCCCTGGACGAAGTTGCGAAACCACGTCTCGAGGTGGATGGAGCGAGCCTCGCTATTGCAAGGAACTGCGACTCGACGGCGAGCCAGGCATGCCGAGCGGTGGAGCCCTGGGCAGAGATGATCTCGCCAAGGTTGTCGGTGAGCGTGGCGACGATCCAGGACTTGACGACGCAGTCCATCCGGGCCCAATCAGGAGGAATTGGGGCTGGAGGTTCCTCTCGAACGTGATCCTGGAGGGAGAACTTGCCGAGGATGAGAAGAAACTGATCACGCCAGCGGTTGAAGTTACCGAAATCGACGTCGAGGATGGTGGTGACGTGGTTCCGGATGTTGCTGACCGCAACAGCCTGAGCATGGAGCTGCAGAAGGGCAACGGCCTCGTGATGCAGCATGGCAGCCCAAAGATCGGGTGGCGGCGCTGAAGTGCCTCCAGGTGTGGCGCCAGAGGGTTCCGGAGCAACGACGACAGCAGCGGCCGCCCACTCCTTGGCAGCGCGCGAGCCTCGCTAGCGCACTGGGCGGCGGCGGCGCGATCCTTAGTCACGGCTGTGGCCTCCTCCTCGGCCTATAGGGCGCATGCTAGGCCAGCATCACGCGCAGCCTGACGCTCGCGCTCGAGATGCTGAGCAGCGGCGACAGCCTCGTTGGCCTTCTCCGCGGCGAGGCGTTGGGCAACGGCGTCTGCCTAGATGGTGGCAGAGGAGGCGTCCAGATCGTCCCCAGCCCTGGGGGCTGCTGGAGGGGTGGAGGGCATGGTGGCGCAGCACGGTGGGTACCGGCACGCAGAGGGGCGCAGCGCGGCGAGGGGCCGCACGCGCGGGAGTGGGCAGCGGAAGAGGAGACCTAAACCTAGGCCTCTGATACCATGCAAGCGAATAGGTCTCGGGAATTGATTGATAGATTAGCAGCAGTACAGGGTACAATATATAGACAAGGATAATAGGGTTTATAGAAACACCCAATCAACGGTGATCATTGCCTTATCAATGTAATCTATCTATCTTAATCCCTAAGGCAGCCAGCCTAACAGGCGGGGGCGCCAGGCCCAAGGCCAACCCATTAGGGCACCTATTCTAACAATTTTAACCAAATTTTATTTGTTTAAACAAATTCTCATATATCAAATCACAAAGATCCCTAATTACTAACATTGGCATCATTTCATACAACATGGGAAACATAATATAAGAAACATATGAAACACCTCAATGCAACATATGAAACATCACATATGCAACACAGGAAACATCACATATGCAACATATGAAAGCTATTATTGCAACATGAAATGCTTTTTGGCTTGGCACTTGATGCTTATGCTTGATGATGCTCATGATCAGAATTTTAGTTGCTTTTTAACATCTGGGATGTTAAAAAGCCCCCACATCACATCTCTTTCCCCCTTGACGAGCAGCTCGTCCTCGAGCTGGAAGCTTGGATAGCGGTCGATGAAGCTAACGATGTCCTCCTGGATCCCATGGGAAGAGTCCAACAGCTAGCTTCAGCAGTACGCTGGGCCTGTCCAGCGACACCAAAATAGGTGACAGAACAGAGGAGACGGTGGTGCTAGGTGCGGTGCCATATCCAACTCATCAAGCCTAGAGGATGTTGGTGAACGTCTGCCGCTTGTTGGCACAACCATACCCGTCGTCAGCGTGGGCTGGACAGTGTGTTGCGGCGACACCTAATGATGCGGTGGATGGGATCGTTGAAGGCGCATGGTTGATCGTTGCCCGCATCTTCCTTGTGGTGTGCCTTACCAGGAACCCTCTCGTTGCCGCCTGTAGCCGCACCGCTGCTTGGAGTTCATGCTCTGACTTCTCCAAGTGAGCACGATAGCGGTTGAACATCACGACGAAGCGATCCATCTCCTCTGCGAGATGGCGAATCCCCTCAATGAGGGCAGTGATTGGCTCATCACTTGATGGTGATGGATGACCGACAGCAGAAACCATAGGAAAGGATCCCTGACTCATGACATGGAGGCGGCGGAAGTCGTTGGTGAGGCTGGGGCGGATGGTGTGGTGGCTGCTGGGTTTGGCGGCGGAGCAGAGGTGGAAGAGGAGCCGATATCAGATGTTAAGAACCTTAGTTCATATCGGGGACAGGGAGGATAACCATTGTCAAAAGAAAGGCCGGGCAAAGTCGGCGTGGAGGGAGACTAGAATATTTGGGGGTAACTAGATTGTTTGTTGTTCATTGCTTGATTCTCTCCCAGCCGGTTACAAGATATAAATAGAAGTTCCTGAGTCCTAGCTCCTCGATTCTCTCCGAGCCATTAACTTCTTACTCCCTAACCGGCAGCTTACTGCCATTGACTGCATGTAGCTGGCTGTGCATGCGCCTCCCTCGGTTTTAACCCCTAACTGGCAGCTTAACTACCATTGATTACAGCATGCACCTCCTGGATTACCGTTCTGGCTATATCTTGAGCCTTGGGACGCCTTTGATACTGGCGCCCCCACATCACAAAAGGTGATCCCTAAACTTTCAAAGTATTTTTCCTCTCTTGTGTGAGCTTCTTATCAAATTGCTGCAAAGCTACAACAGCATCAGGAGTTTACCACAGTTCACTCATAATATTGCAAACTTTCTAGAGTTGCATTCCCTGCACATTCCTCCACATGTACACTAAAGTCAAGCTACCAACTTCCACTTATTTTTAAAAACTCACAGTATCATGGTACGGTTACAGGTTCGATGAGCGATTGGCATACTCCTGAACCATAGCACCGAAGAGGGACGGTTGTTCGATCAACCTCGATGGTGAGTCAAATTCTTTTACCAGACCTGAAAAGAAAATGGTAATACTTTAGAATAACATTCTGGAACACAAAACTACGCACACTAATTTTACCAGATACCAAAGTCTATATGCAACAAACAGCTCTGAAAATGAATGCACTGACTGAAGGGACCTACCTGCATCCAACACCAAAACTCTATCACAGTCCATGACTGTTGGTATTCTGTGTGCGATGCTAATTATTGTACATGATGAAAACTCCTGTCATGTGATCTTCTGAATTGTGGCATCAGTTTGGGAATCAACTGAAGCAGTTGCCTCATCCATAAATAAGATCTGGGTCTGCTTCAGTATGACACGGCCAAGACAGAGGAGTTGTCTTTGGCCTACACTCCAGTTCTCTCCACTATCAGCCACTATGAACAACCAAAGCAAAAGAAATGAACAGAATGCCAACAGATATACAATAACACAAAGAACCATAAAAATAGTAATACCTGGAGCATCAAGTTTTTCAGGTTTGGAAACTACTACATCCTTCAACTGACAGCGCTCAAGAGCCTGAAATGTTGTCAATCAATGTCCATGGTTAGTTAAGGCAGATAGGGCACCATGTTGGAATGAGAATAAAATAAACTACTCCCTCCATTTCAAATCATAAGTCATTTTAACTTCAAACCAGTTTTTGTAGCTGTGATCATGTTTTCAGAAAAAATAAATCAACACCTACAGTATCAAATAAATGCACTATCAAAATATATGTCATGGTGTATCTATGAATCTCGTTTGATGTTCTAGATATTTTTGTATTTTTCTATAAACTTGCTCAACGCCAGAAAAGTTTGACTTGTGATAAAACTACACTCAAAATATGGAATGGAGGAAATACATGTTAGTGATGCTGTACCTGCCATATTTCTGCATCTGAATACTGCCCAATTGGATCAATGTTGCTTCGAATTGTTCCTTCAAACAGTACTGGTTCCTGTGGAATTATGCCAAAATGAGATCTCAAATCATGCAGACCCTGTGTGCATATGTCTATTCCATCAATGATCATTTTTCCCTCTGCAGGTTCTACGAGCCTGAACAACGCTTGGATCAAAGTTGACTTGCCACTGCCTGTCCTTCCTACAACTCCTATCTTTTCTCCACCACTGATACTTATATTAATGCCTTTCAGAATTAAAGGTGTATTTGGTCGATACCTAACCTGAAATAAAAAGATCGCAAAAAAATACTAAAATAAAAAAGGTAGACATCTTCAATTGTTGTAAATAATCCCTAACTGCAAACAGAATGTTTCAATGCATCATTCACTTGATTGAGTGCAAGATCTATAGAAAGTTGCCCCAGATTTATGTGCAGTGTAAGGTTTTGAATGCTAAGGAAAGAAAGGAGGACTAGATTGATTTGAGTACTTTGAATCATAAAAGGCACTAACAGGGAAAAACTAGTAAAACAAAGGTAAATAAGGACCACTAACCTTTAGATCCTTAATGTCAATGTCCCCATGAGTGGGCCAATTTGAAGAAGGAAGATGCTCTTCTATTTTCCATGCTGCCTAGGAAGGAAGAGCACTGAACTGATTTATCCTCTCCACAGCAACCATATCGTTTTCTAACATGCAGCTAATGGATATTGCAAAGTACACCAGAGAATTGAAGGAGAGGCCATAAGATAGAGACATACCAACAAATTCTGCAAAAGCATAGCAGACATCAGTCTACGATAAGGTCATCATCATAAACCTACAGAGACTAATTACCAGCTACAACAATTAAGGTAGGGCAATTTTTTTTTTCAAACAGCGCAGGAGAACTGCGCGTCATTTCATTAAGGTAGAGAAAGAATTACAAAGGTCCAAGTGACCCAACACACACACCCCACTCCCCAGAACTAGGTTACTGACTCGCCACACAAAAAGGAAAAAAGGATGACCAAACTTCTCCAAGCATTAAGCTCTAGAAGGCAACAACCTGAAAACCAGCTCCTGGAGTTTGGAGGCCCCGGCCGAGCACCAGAGCCCACCCTCCGAGCTAATAGCCCTAAGGACTTCCTGAACACTTGGCCTTTTATTATCAAAGACACAAGAATTGCGATGCTTCCAAATCTCCCAAGCCACCAAAATTATCAAGGAGTTGAGGCCTTTACGCAAATCCTAACGGACAGCCGCAGTTGTTCTCTTCCACCACCCTGAGAAACGAATCACAGTAGGCTGTGGTGCCAACTATAGCATTCCCAACTGATGCAAAACCAGGGCCCAAACTTGCCGGGCAAAAACACAGCCCACTAGCAAATGGTTTATTGTTTCATCCTCTTGATCACATAATGGGCAAGCCTCAGGATGGGGCAGATTCCTCCTTGCAAGTCTATCGGCTGTCCAGACCCGGTTGTGAAATACCAACCAGATGAAGAACTTGCAGCGCGGAGGAGCCCAAGTTTTCCAGATCCTTCTCCAAGACCCAAACTTGATGGTTCCCTCAAAGAAGGCTGCATAAGCTGATTTACTGGTGTAGGAACCATCCTGAGTTAATTTCCATCTATATTGATCTGGAATCTCCGGATGCAAAATAAATCCATCCACAATGTCCCAAATACGAAGGTACTCAAGCATGACCACAACTGTACGTGCTCCTTTAATATCCTGAACCCAACTATTATGATGCAAGGCTTGTGCCACCGTCCTTCTCTTGGCTGTTCGATTTGGGACTGCCTTGAACAGGTTAGGAGCTATTTCAGCCATGGTATGCCCCCCAGCCATCTATCTTTCCAGAACAATATCTCCTTTCCATTTCCTACTATGGCATCAACTGCAACATTTAAGAGAGCCTCGGCTTTATGAGGAACAGAGATAGGAAGGCCGGCCCAAGGCCTTTCAGCATCTGTCTTTTGCGCCCACAGCCACCGAATCTTCAGTGCACATCCCAGAAGTTCAAGATTATGAGTCCCAAGACCTCCATACTCAAGTGGTCTTTGCACCTTTTCCCAAGCTACTAGGCAATTGCCACCATTGGCCTGCTGGTGACCCTTCCAAAGGAAGCCTCGCCGTTTTTTGTCAATAGCCTTAATCACCCATTTTGGAAGGTCCAGGGCAGTTAAAAGGTATATTGGGACAGCAGTCAGCACAACCTTCACCATGACTAGCCGCCCAGCTCTGTTCATAAGAGAAGCCTCAGGATACTTAAAAAACCAGCTTGTCTCTAGGACTCGGACAAAAAAAGACTTCTCTGTAGGATGACAAAAAAAAACAATAGTGATCGATAGACAAAATCAAGGAAATTCACTGTGCCTAGACAAATTTCCCATTAAGAACATTATCATCAGTTGATTACTCGCTTAAAAAACAGAGACAAAATAATCATGTATATATAGATTCAAACATATACTGACAACCATGTAGCATAAAAAATAAAAAGGACATAAGTCAACCATTTTAAAAAAACAGACAGTACTATTGGTGTTTTACTTCTATGAATGAAGCAATTAGGGACAAACTGCTAAATATATGAAGCTGAAATTGATGTCTTCTCATATGAGATTGTATGTCTGGTTCTTTATAAAAAAGGGTAGCCCCAGTGCACGTAGCTCCTGCTTGCGCAGGGTCAGGGGAAGGGTCCGACCACTTGGGTCTTTTGTACGCAGCCTTTCCTTGCATTTCTGCAAGAGGCTGTTTCCAGGACTTGAACCCGTGACCTCATGGTCACAAGGCAGCAGCTTTACCACTGTGCCAAGGCTCCCCTTCTATGTCTGGTTCTTTATGCTAGAAAAAAAATATAATCTAAAATATATTGATCTATACCTTTCTTAATAAAATTACTGAGCAGGCTGATCATGAGAAATGCAGTTATTGACAATGGAAGTACATGCGCAAACTTGAATTAATTTTTTCTAAATTTTCTTGGAAAAATTCTTTCTCCTTTTTGAAACATCTTATGGTTGTGGCGCCAAGAACAGTTTCAGAGAAGTGATCAATAACTGGTGCCTTTGTCACTCCTTCAAGTCGAGTTAACTCCCGTGAGGTTGCAAGATAGCGATTCTGCAGAAATGAAGACTGAAATTGCAACTTCCATTATGTATTTTCTTTAATGTGCATTGCATGAGATAAATTTTTTGGCAGTTGGAGCATACCCTGTACCAAATGTTCAATAGTAGAAGTGGAATTACGGCTATAACTGATGGCCAGGCAACCTGACAAATGACGATAATGGTGCTCAATACTGAAATGAACATTGAAATTGTCAGACCAACGAAAAATGCCAGCACAACATCAATGGTCGTTTGGTCACATGATGCCTGAAAAGAGAAAGTGGAGATAAAATAATTGCAGTATCACTCTTTTTAGGCCTCAAACTAAAACCTAATCCATAGATGCCAAAGTACAAGAAACACACAAGACACAAGATCATACTATTTAAGCTACATTAATGAGGTTTATTTCGATTTCCACCTACTTTGATTCATAGTGGATGGTAATTAGGTATTTAGGTTTCCTGAGGAATTTATAATTACTTCCTATGTACTAGTGAAGTTTGGGACTTTCAGCCAATTACAAGATAAACCAAAAGATGAGCCCGACTGAGAATCCTTCCTGAAGGAGTGGTATCGAAAAATGACATAGGGGCATGCAGAATGCTGTCAAACATCTTCTTGAAAAATATGTGAGCTGTTTGAAGTCCCAAAACTGTCTCAAGAAGAGTCTTGATTACTTGAAGGACCATCGAAAAAGCTGCTATGGCCACATACACTCCAATGAACAATGATGGGTTAAATGGTATGCTTCCTGACGTTTCGTACGATAGCCAATAGTCACTAGCCATATCAGAGCCCTGCCACACGACTGCAAAGGCAAGCATGCCCACAACTCCCCACCAGCCCCAGGCCTGTGTCATGTATAGCTTGTACACTCGCCAACTTACTTGACCACTCCCTTTCCTCTTCCTGTATAATCTTAGAAGTGGCTGCTTCTATTTCTGGTGCAACAATCACCTTCTCACCCTTTCCAATGGATCTAGAGCGTAGAGAAGGGATTCTAACTACTGCAGTAGGCTGAAAATGCTCAGGTTTCTCTACTTGACAACGTTGCTCCACCAGTTCCATTGAACTGTCATGAGCAGCAACAAGAGCTGCAAAATCAGAACCTGCTTCTACTAATTCATCATACTTTCCTGATTGTGCAATCATACCATCTCTCATGACCTGCATGGACAAAAAGGATAAAAAGAAGTCAAGGACATATTGGGAAACTCTACTATTGTGCCCTTTTACAAGAAGACGATGGCCAATCCAAAAATCTCTATCATAGATACAAGTGTCTTATAACTGGAATAAATATTAATGAACTGAAATTATAAGTGTGATAATTAGTTTGCTGAATTAACTCCAACCTTTAGACCTATGATCTGGTCTGAACATTGTCAGGTCTGAACATTGCTATGGTTTTATTGGTTGTATCAAATAGTAGTTGGCATTTTGCTTTTTTGAACCTTTTTTAAAAAAAGAAAGATTATTTTCTTGCTAGATATTATCAGAATTCAGAACATGTTCATTACTCCCTCCGTCCCTCAATAAATAGATTCCTAGAGTTGTCTTAAGTCAAACTTTTTAAACTTTGACCGAATTTTTAGAAAAAAAAAACATAAAGATCTATGGTATCAAATTAGTATCATTAGATCTACCATAGAATATATTTTCATAAGGTGCTCATTTTATGTCAAATATGTTATTACTCTTTTCTATAAAGTTAGTCAAACTTAACAAAGTTTGACTGGCACGGATTCTACGAATTGATTTATTTGGGGACGGAGGGAGTATTTTTTTTAAAAAAAAACTACCACAGCATTCTGATAAGTATTTGTAACAGAAGATATCTGAGAGAGTGCATAATGAACACCATTGAACCAAAATTGGACATCACACCCAGTTGTTTGTAAAGCTTACTACACGAAATAGTTTTGCTAAAAGAAAGCATATCGCCTGACAAGTAACTGCAATGGTGTAGCATCTAACTTACAAATATGTTGTCCACATTATGCAAGAAATCCACTTGGTGTGTAACAAGTATGATGGTCTTCCCCTCAAGTGTTCCCCTTAGACACTCCTGCGAAATAAAGGCTGTTGTTGTAATAGTGTGCAAAATTATATGGTTAATCAATCCCACTGTTGCAAAAACAAAGATATAAGTACGAAATATGGTTTGTCCATCGTTGGTTACAACAACAACAACAACAACAACAAAGCATTTAAGTCCCAAACAAGTTGAGGTAGGCTAGAGTTGAAACCCAGCAGATAAGCAATCAAGGTTCAGGCACGTGAATAGCTGTCTTCAAGCACTCCTATCTAAGGCTAAGTCTTTGGGTATATTCCATTCTTTCAAGTCTCCTTTTATTGCCTCTACCCAAGTCAACTTCGATCTTCCTCTGCCTCTCTTCACGTTACTATCCTGGCTTAGGATTCCACTATGCACCGGTGCCTCTGGAGGTCTCTGTTGGACATGTCCACACCATCTCAACCGGTGTTGGACAAGCTTTTCTTCAATTGGTGGTACCCCTAATCTATCACGTATATCATCGTTCCGAACTCGATCCCTTCTTGTATGACCGCAAATCCAACGCAACATACGCATTTCCACGACACTTATCTGTTGAACATGTCGTCTTTTCATAGGCCAACATTCTGCACCATACAACATAGCAAGTTTAATCGCCGTTCTATAAAACATGCCTTTTAGCTTCTGTGGTACCCTTTTGTCACATAGGACACCAGATGCTTGCCGCCACTTCATCCACCCTACTTTGATTCTATGGCTAACATCTTCATCAATATCCCCGTCTCTCTGTAGCATTGATCCTAAATATCGAAAGGTATCCTTCCTATGCACTACTTGACCTCCCAAACTAATATCTTCCTCCTCCCGAATAGTAGTGCCGAAGTCACATCTCATATACTCAGTTTTAGTTTTACTGACTCTAAAACCTTTGGACTCCAAAGTCTCCCGTCATAACTCCAGTTTCTGATTCACTCCTGTCCGGCTTTCATCAACTAGCACTACATCGTCCGCAAAAAGCATACACCAAGGGATGTCCCCTTGTATGTCCCTTGTGACCTCATCCATCACTAAGGCAAACAAATAAGGGCTCAAAGCTGACCCTTGATGTAGTCCTATTCTAATTGGGAAGTCATCCGTGTCTCCATCACTTGTTCGAACTCTAGTCACAACATTGTTGTACATGTCCTTAATGAGCCCGACGTACTTCATTGGGACTTTATGTTTGTCCAAAGCCCACCACATAACATTCCTTTGTATTTTATCATAAGCCTTCTCCAAGTCAATAAAAACCATGTGTAGGTCCTTCTTCTTCTCCCTATACCGCTCCATAACTTGTCTTATTAAAAAATAGCTTCCATGGTTGACCTTCTAGGCATGAAACCAAATTGGTTCATAGAGACCCGCGTTATTGCTCTCAAGCGATGCTCGATAACTCTCTCCCATAGCTTCATAGTATGGCTCATCAACTTAATTCCCCGGTAATTAGTACAACTTTGAATATCCCCTTTATTCTTATAGATCGGTAACAATATACTTCTCCACTTATCAAGCATCTTGTTCGATCGAAAAATATGGTTGAACAGCTTGGTTAGCCATACTATAGCTATGTCCCCGAGGCATCTCCACACCTCGATTGGGATAACATCCGGTCCCATCGCCTTACCTCCTTTCATCCTTTTCAACGCCTCTCTGACCTCAGATTCTTGGATTCTCTGCACAAAGCGCCTATTGGTGTCATCAAAAGAGTCATCCAACTGAAAGGTTGTGTCTGTATTCTCACCATTGAACAATTTGTCAAAATACTCTTGCCATCGATGTCGGATCTCATCCCCCTTCACCAAGAGATGTTCCCTTTCATCCTTAATGCACTTAACTTGGTTGAAGTCCCTTGTCTTTCTCTCACGAACCCTAGTCATCCTATAAATGTCCTTCTCTCCTTCCTTCGTACTCAAACGTTGGTAAAGATCCTCGTACGCTCTACCCTTTGCCACACTTACAGCTCGCTTTGCAGTCTTCTTTGCCACCTTGTACTTCTCTATGTTGTCCACAATCCTGTCATGGTACAAGCATCTATAGCACTCTTTCTTCTCCTTAATAGCCCTTTGGACTTCCTCGTTCCACCACCAAGTATCTTTAGCCTCGCCTCCACTTCCTTTGGTTACTCCACACACCTCTGAGGCCACCTTCCGAATGTTGGTTGCCATCTTCTCCCACGTGTTGTTTATGTCCTCCTCTTCCTTCCAAGAGCCCTCTTTGATAACCCTTTTCCTGAATACCTCTGACGTCTCACCTTTCAGTTTCCACCACTTTGTTCTTTCAATTTTAGCTTGTTTATCCTTACGGGCACACACCTGAAAATGAAAGTCTGCCACCAAAAGCTTATGTTGAGAAACAACACACTCCCCTGATATCATCTTGCAACCCAAGCATGCTCGTTTGTCCTTTCTTCTTATGAGGACAAAGTCAATCTGACTAGAGTGTTGTCCGCTACTGAAGGTCACTAGATGAGATTCTCTCTTTCTAAAGAAAGTGTTGGCTATCATCAGGTCAAAAGCTACCGCGAAGTCCAGAACTTCCTCCCCCTCCTGATTCCTACTACCATACCCAAAACCGCCATGAACTGCCTCGAAACCTGCGCTTGTAGTACCTACATACCCATTAAGATCTCCTCCTATAAAAAACTTCTCACTACTGGGTACAGCTATAATCAAGCCATCTAAGTCTTTCCAGAACTGTCTCTTAGCACTCTCGTCAAGGCCTACTTGGGGGCATACGCACTAATTACGTTCAAGACCATATCACCAATGACAAGCTTGACTAAGATAATCCTATCTCCTTGCCTTCTCACTCCCACCACACTATTCTTGAGGCTCTTATCAATCAAAACTCTAACTCCATTTCTATTCGCAACTGTCCCTGTGTACCAAAGCTTGAAACCTGTATTGTCCACCTCCTTCGCCTTCTGACCCTTCCATTTAGTCTCTTGAACGCATAATATATTTACACGCCTCCTAGTCGCGGTATCAACTAATTCTCTTAACTTCCCTGTATGCGACCCTACATTCCAACTGCCTAAACGGATCCTAGTTGGTTCGACTAGCTTCCTTACCCTTCGCACCCGTCGAATCAGATGTGAAGACCCTTGCTCATTTTTCACTACACCCGGGCGCCGATGTAGCGCGCCACTAAGGATGCGACGACCCGATCCTTGATCACTTAACACCGTGCCCAGATCACGACACGGCGCATCGTTGGTTGTTATATATTAAATATATCAACGTAATCAAGTAGCTTTCTATCCTCTGAGATTCCATTAACAGCTATTCCATTTTTATTTCGAGCAAAATAAACCACATCATTCACATATATTTCTCATGTATTTCAACATCATTCAAGTTTAGTATTAATTAGTTACTCCGAGATATAGCAGTGTTCAATAAAAATATCGTAGGTGTATGACTCAGGAAGGGGAGTAATAATGCTGAAAAAAAAATCTGAAAAGTACTTCTTGACTCTAAAACTTATGGAGCTAAACCCGCTGACAAATAGTGGTAAACTTGGGTCCATTTCCTGTCACTTTCCATTTACTAGGAGGTGGGGGTGACTTCCCTAATCATGACAATAGCTTCTATCTAATGAATAATTAATGGATCCTTTTCATATCACAATAAGTATAAGGAAGGCTTAGAATGGATAACACCATATCTACAAAATTTACAGGTTGTGTTTCACCTAAGCCGCAAATTACAATATTTCTTCATCCGTTAACAACTTATAAAGCTTGTAGTAACTTAATTGCATCAAATGATGTTGTAAGGGCATGTGTGGTTGAAAATATATATACCGAAAAACAAAAGGTATACCTTAAAGATATTTGAACCAGTGTGTGCATCAACAGCACTGAAGACATCATCAAGAAGATATATATCACAATGTTGGTAGACTGCTCTGGCAAGCTGAATACGCTGTTTCTGCCCACCACTGAGATTGATTCCTCGCTCTCCAATTTCAGTCTGGTCTCCAAATTCCATCATTTCCAAATCTTTTTCCAGGCAGCAAGAACGAATGACTTCTTTATATCATTCAGCATGCATCGGCTGTCCAAATAAGATATTCTCTTGAATGGTCCCATTTTGGATCCAAGCAGTCTGTGAAACATATGCAGTGCTCCCACATACTCTGACCTATCAAAAATGAAAGAAGTTAAACAAACTGGCACTAGTATAGAGTATAAATGACCAAACAGTATACTGTATAGGAAATATCATTATGCAGAAAATGCTAAACATGCTTTAAATGATATACTGTATAAGCTTTCTATGCTCATTATGGATTTGCACTGCTAAAGAAAATTTATACTTCAACAAATGGCTGGGAACTTATTCAACTAAACGCTAAACAGTCGATCACCTATCATTTAACTATTATTCGGTCTAAACGGATATTTAGACAAGCTAAATGGGAATTTAAATGGGATATCAAACAGACATGGCTTACCACCGTTTAGCGTTTAAACAGAGTTGAAGTTTAATTGGTGTAAACTGCCATTTAGGTGAACAGAACTATCAGGAAAAAAATTCCCACACAGTTAAAATGAAAACCTTTACACTACAAAGCATGTAAACTGATGGATAGGCTTTCAGTAAAACATCAAACAGACATACTCAGCTCAATAAGAGATAGAGACCATGTCAGGTTTAGAGAGGCATTTCATCAAACACATGGTGGTCGTCGTACAAAGGACTCCAAACCAGTGTGCCAAAACAAGGCACAATATCATAGAGTTGGATTTGAAAGTCACTTGCATGATTTGCATCCATTCCAACCAGAACAAGTGAGAAAGCAAAATGCTAATCGGTCCAATTGAACAGGCTTCTCTACCCATGCAAATTACCAATTGCTATTGCACTTGTAGTTCGATACTTATTTTTGGAAACATGGCTGGCCACAAATTGTGTAGGGAGAATGTTGACTCGGGATGCTGACCACCAAACATGGACTCCTGAAGTGACCTTAGAGTTGATTTGGACCCAACCTACCTAGTAATTTGACAGTTCTGTATGCTGGTGGTCACTTTCGGAGAGTGTTGGAAAATGCAATGAAGAAAGTCCAACGAAAAACAATATTCGCTTTGAATCAGAAATTTCACACTCACCGTGCCAGAGATCTTCTCCATCTCCCCCATAATGCAAGAAAGCAGTGATGTCTTGCCAGATCCGACCATCCCAACCACCGCCGCAAGCTCACCCTTCCTTACCTCAACATTGATCCCCTTCAGCACCGTCTCCAGTACAGGTGTCCCCTCCACATCTTTCTCCTCCTCGCTTTCACCATCCTCACCTTCCGCACTCTGCTGCTTCTTTCCCCTCACGTCCCACGCGAAAACACCATCACGCACCTCCACGACCACCGCGCCAGTGTCAATGCCGGTGTCTTCCACGTGCTCCACTGCCGAGTCATCAAGCTCCGCATCAAGCAGGTATCTGTCAAGCCTGCCAACAGACACGGTTGCCTGCGTCACAGCAGCAATCGCCTCGGGGAAGCTCTGCATAGGTGCGTCGAGCATTCGGAAGAACGCGGTCGCCGTGAACACCTTCCCGGCATCGAGCTGGACGCCAGTCAGCACGCACGCGCCGAACACAAGCACGGTCATGGCGAGCGGGCCGCTCCAGAGCACGACGGTGTTGGCACACATGAAGTACATGGACTTGGCTAGCCAGCCGAGCTCTTCCTCCCGGAGGTCGCGGATCTTGTCCCCGAACGTCTCCTCCCACGCCTGCAGCTTGATGACGCGGATGTAGTTGAGCAGCTCGGTGATGGCCTTCATGCGCTCGTCGCGCTTGCCGAGAAACTTGAACTGGTACTCGATGTTGAGCTTGTTGGTGTAGTCTCTCACACGCCGTCGCCATGTGCGCCGGAGAGGAAGACAGTGTAATTTAGAGAACGCACACAAGAGCAGTGGAAGACACTAGCAATTTGGTGCCGCAAACTAGCGCAGCTTTTCTAACTATGTATTGCAACTTAAGTAGATAAATTACAATGCTACGATGTAGCCACGAATGGCCACGACGCTGCGACCTCCACGCTCCGCCATTGCCGCGCCATCCCACGACTGGAGTATGCAGGTCACCACTACTTCTACCACGCGCACGCCACGACCTCCAACTGGTTCGTGCCATCCCACAGACGAGAACGCAATGCGCGCTGATGACCACTAGAGCTAGAAATAAGGAGAGCCTCTGCACGAACGCAGCATGCATCAAGATGTACACAACACATTCGGCTTGGCTAAGACCGAGTTCAGTTATTGTCTAACAGCCGGAGAGAAACTAGGAGCTGAAGTGAACCTGGATTATCTAACAATCTCCCCCTAATTCATGCTCAATTCTTCATGTTGACGATGCCGATCATATCACGAAGTTCACAGAACCTCGCGTGCCCCAACGACTTCGTCAGGATGTCAGCGAGCTGCTCCTGGCTGCTCGCATAATCCACACAGATTCTCCCGCTGTCCACGCAGTCACGAATAAAATGAAATTTGGTGTCAATGTGCTTACTGCGATCATGTAGGACGGGATTCTTGCTCAGGGCGATTGCGGACTGATTGTCCATCTTCAGAATAGGCTGCTGGACTTCTTTCCCAGTGATGTCGCCCAGCAGCTGGATTAGCCACATGGCCTGGCATGCCCCTGCCGCACCAGCCACGTACTCCGCTTCACAGGTGGACAAGGCCACCGATTTCTGCTTCTGAGACTGCCAAGTGACTGGCAGCCTCCCCAGGAAGAAGATCACGCCTGCAGTGCTCCTCCGTTCATCAGCATCTCCCCCAATCGCTGTCACTGTAGCCCGTCAGCCTATTGTCACCACTCAGCAGCTTGGAGTAGATGATGTCGTAATCCACCGTGCCTGCGATGTAGCGCAGCAGGTGCTTGACAGCAACCAGATGCTCTTGCCGAGGCTTCTCCATGAAGCGGCTGACATAGCCCACAGCAAAGGCAATGTCAGGACGCGTGTGAACCAAATACCGTAGGCTGCCGACTAGGCTGCGGTACATGGTCGCGTCGACCTCCGGCGTTGTGCTTTTAGTCGAGAGCTTGAGGCGCACCTCCATCGGCGTTGAGATGGGCTTGCAGGCCGTCGTGCCTGCCTTCTCTAGAAGCTTCTTCATATACGCCGCCTGCCCCAGCGTGATCGTGTTCCGGCCTTGCTTCACCTCGATCCCAAGATAATACGAGAGCAAACCAAGATCACTCATCCGAAAGAGCCGGCGCATCTCCTCCTTGAATGCGCCGATGTCCGCCGGGTTCGCGCCAGTGATGATAAGATCGTCTACATAGACGCCCACCACCACGCGCGACTTCGCCGAGCCTTGCATATACATGCCGTGCTCGGCTGACGCACCGTTTGAAACTGAGATTGCGTAGACTATCGTCGAGCTTTGTGTTCCACACGCACGGCGCTTGTCGCAGCCCATACAATGCCTTGTGCAGCTTCAGCACCTTCCCTTCATGCCCTGCAGCGACAAAACCCGGCGGTTGCCGGACATAAACCTCCTCCTTCAGCTCGCCATTGAGGAATGCTGACTTGACATCCATGTGATGGACAAGCTAGCCCTCCTGTGCCGCCACGGCGAGCAGCATCCGGATCGACTCCATTCGGGCAACTGGCGCGAATACTTCATCAAAGTCGACGCCTTCTTGTTGCACGTATCCCTTTGCGACAAGGCGGGCTTTGTGCTTGACGATGGCGCCCGTCTCATCACGCTTCACTTTGAACACCCACTTGAGTCCGATGGGCCGGTGACCATGAGGAAGGTTCACGAGCTTCCATGTCTTGTTCTGCTCGATCGAGGCCATCTCCTCCATCATGGCCTGGCGCCAGGACTCCTCGCGCCATGCTTCCTCGAACGTGGCTGGCTCCTCTCCAACAGCTAGGAGCAAGTCCTCGTCCATCTCGAATTCCCATTTCGCTAGACCCGGGATTTCCGCCGGCCCCACGATGTTGTCCAGCTTCCGGAACCGAAAAGGTGCGTCATCATGATCGACGTCGAGGTCTAGATCACCGGATGGAGGGGATGCGAACTCCATAGCTGCGCCTGGTGAAGTAGAAGCAGGTGTCGATGATGTGCCACCCCCGCCACTATGCACGCCTGCTGGCGAGCCCGTGGTAGCTGCCATCGTTGGCGTGCCAGGCGTTGTCGGTGCTCTAGCCGAGTGCGCTAGGCTCCCCCCAACTTGGATGTCCTCCGCAACTCCTCCTGCTCCACCGTCAGTGTGCCACGGTGATCCACCGCCGTCATGTACTCGACGTGGAACGGCTCGGTGTCCTCCGAGCACGCATCGTCGGCGTCGGCGTCGGCGTTCCAGTCCCACGGATGTCCTTCATCGAACACCGCGTCGCGCAAGATGTTCGCGCGCCCAGTGCCCGGATTATAGAACTTGTACGCCTTGCTGCCCGGTTCATATCCGATGAACACCATCGGGGTGCTCCTGTCGTCGAGTTTCTTTTGGTGACCGCCGGCCACCTTGACATGGGCAACACAGCCAAAAGTACGGAAGAAATGTACAGGCGGCTTAGCACCATACCAAGCTTCGTGTGGTGTCATGCCCTCGACACTCCTTGTTGGCGATCGGTTCAAGATGAAGACCGCCGTCAGCACCGCCTCTCCCCAAAATCGGCCGGGCACACGCATCGCCTTGAGCATGCTCCGCGCCATGCCAAGCATGGTTTGGTTGCGCCGTTCAACCACCCCATTCTACTAGGGTGTATAGGGCGCAGTGAGATGTCGCTGCACCCCTTTCTCGGCATAGTACTCCATGAACATGCGATGTGAACTCCCCGCCACGATCAGTGCGCAGCGTGCCCAGCTTCCTCCCCGCCTCAACTTCGACGCGAGCTTGGAGACGTTGGATCGCGTCGCCGGCTTGATCCTTGGAGCTCAACAACACCAGCCACATATAGCGACTCTTGTCGTCGATGACGAGGAGGAACAGCTTCTTTTCGCCGAGCGTCTCCGGCGTGATAAGCCCGCACACGTCGGCGTGAACCAACTGGAGCGGGTGAGCGGCGCGGTACTTGGGCGTCGCTGTCGATGCGGGACCCACGGGATACCCCGCAAGGAAGAGAAAAGATCTAGTCTAACTAGATCTCTTTTCATGTAATCTTAGTAGTAGTAGTATTCTGTAATTCTATTGTTCTACTAGGAACTCTCATTATAAACCGACTAGGACTCTGACCTCCTGACTATACAAAGGAGGGCAGGGATCCTGGAAAGGTGACTGGAACTTTTGAACAACAGACAATCAATCCAATGCAAGGCTAACGCCGACTGGATGTAGGGCTATTACTCGATCACAATCGAGGGCTCGAACCAGGATAAATCAACTGTCTCTTGCGTTCACCGTCGAGTTCCGCATACGCTGAAGCCCGAACATACTGCCCCGAGGACACCCATGGCAGGCTATCGGTGGTCAAACATTGACAGCTGGCGCGCCAGGTAGGGGCTTTCGGCGAATTTGCATCCGAGAGCTCGACGGACCTCGACAACATGAGCTTCTTGGCGGGATCAACCTTCATCTTTGGCTCGTGGATCTGTGAGGCAGGCGACGATGGCAAGCTCCAAAGCCGTCTCCTCGAAGATTTGGTTCACCATGAAGACATTTCTATTTCGGCGACTACGACAGATCAAATCACCGAAAGATTCGCGCAACTCGTGATGTCTGATTCAACTCAGGTTTCGTGGCTTTGCGCATCTGACTTGAACTCAGGCTCCGCATCCGAGATGGAGTCTGATCCAAGTTCCTTCGAGGATCCGAGTTCTTTTCCGATGGGGCTCCAGAACGTGGCCTCGGCATATCAAGAATACAACTCGGAGAACACTCAGAGTCTTTTCAAGAAGTCAGATCCTTTTCTGTTTGGACTCCACAACATGGCAAAGTCTTATCAGACACGGCTCGAGGGATCCCTCGATCCGGTGCTTAGAATGCCACTAAAAGGAGCTCAGGAAGGTCTCATGCTAACTATAACATCTCAAGACTGCATCGTCCACTGGCCAGGTTCTATTCCTGAGGATAGCGGCACCCGACTAGTCGGCACGATGAGAACAGCAATTCTACCCTACCAAGAAGGAGACTCGATCTATGACCTTGAAGCCTCTACTAAAGTTATCAGCAACTCCGATAGTATGGAAACCAACAACAATAACAGAACAGTCCACGCACTGGAAGTACTCATGGTTCGCCATCCTCGATCACCATTAATCCCCCTAGAAGTGCCCGAATCAGGTCATCGGATGAATCTGAGTCCAACATATCACCCTTTGCTCAGGGTTACGATGGTGAGACCGAGAATCAAAGGCAAGCCAGAGAAAGAAGAAACAAATTGAAACAAGGACGCCAACGACGTGCTAGGCAACGCAAGGAAGCTTGGATCAGATATGAGTCAGATCTGGCCGAGTACAATAGAAGAAAATCAGAACAAGAAGTCGAAGAAAGACGTGCAGCGAACACACCCTACAACAGGATCCGAGAAGCACTCGAAGAACTCGGAACGACCTTGCATCCCAGCGAACAGCAGGAATAGCTCTGAGAACTTCTCCGGACAGCATCCCTAAAGACACACGATGGAAGAACCGTTCAAGACTACCTGCCAGGTCAGCATCTCATAGGAAGGAAGATCAAAATCAAAGGAAGTCCACGTTCGAGAGACTTGGACCAAGTGGAAGTCACAATAGAGAAAGTAGAAGGGACCACAGTCAAAACTACCGAGTCGAACAACCAAGACAAATCAGAAGCGAAGTACTCATTCGGATAGCTCCGCAGAACTACT